AAGTCGGAACGAGCCGGATCGGGCCACTATATCATATAGCTGCCATATAACTGAACGATCGGAAATGCCATAACTTTGGTGTTTTTAAAGTTGGGAAGTTGGGACTTTTTATGAGTATTAAGAATGCATCATATGAATAATTTTGGAGAATATAATTTATAGAATATTCTGCAAGGGTATATCAACTTCGGCTCCGCCCGAAGTTAGCTTTCCTTTCTTGTTTAAAATAATATAGTGTTATGCAACGCTTTTTGGTTTCATGGTACACCGAAAAGAAACATTTTTGCATCCTTGATGACTTATAAAATTATGTGGCTTATATAAATGGAATAGCCGTAATATTTTAAATTAAGCCCTCAAACTTAAATGGAAAGCATATTTATTGTTCGGCAATCTATGGTCCAATTCTAATTATGTAGCAATGGCATACATTAGTATATTTCTGTGCAGTTCTTATGGCAGTTTACAATTTTAATCTGCAATAACCCAACGCAGCCCACTGTCCCAGAAGACTGCACCCATTCTTACCGCTCCCCTCGAGCGATTTACTCTGGCAGAAGATCTGGTTTGGGGCAGTGGGAAAGCGGTGGAAACTGGGGAAAGTGGCGCTGGCACTTGCCTCATTTTGTGGCAGGCGCATATCCCCATAATCAGAAAGCTTTTGCGCTTTATTTGTGTTAGTTTCAATTATATAAACAACGGCAAAGACGAGCAGTTGGCAGTGGAAATGGCAGTCGAAGAACCAATTACCGCTTGATTTAGCACACGCACACGAATGCAAACACAGATAGGCACACTCGCACACTCGCACCCACACCCCCACACACTCACAATCGCAATCACAATCACATGCATTAGCCATAGAGCCATGACAAACTTATTGAGATTCATGGAGCAGATTGTGAAGCTTCAGTTCAGTGGCCATGGGTGGCTTAAAAGGGGGGTTAAGGGGGCTAAAGGGGCTGAGGGGGGGCCAAAGGGGAGGGGGTTTGACGGGCACCCAAAAGGGGGGATGGCAAAAAGAGGGCGTGGCTGGTTTGTGGGCTCTTGTTGCCTGGTTTGTTAAGCAGACAATGGCTAATGCTTCAACTGGTAAATACAAACACAAATATGAACACTGAAAAACTTTAAAGGCATGAATGTGTTTTTGTTCTAACAATTTGGGGAACTGTTACTACTATTCAAAATTTTATATCAAAATATATTTACAAAATTGTTTTCCAATTTATTATGCAACTTAGAACTTAAATAAATCACAAAACAAAAAATTTTACTTTTAGTTTATGTTCTAACAATTTGAAAATATATATTACGAACCACATTACTTCTAGCTCTTAAGTTGTAAAACATTTTTAGTTCTTAAATGTATAAATAAAGGGTAAGCTGTTGACTTAGAAAAACTATTTAATTTGAATTCAAATAAAAAGAAATTGAAAAACAATGTTAGTATAATATCGAGATTTAAAAATATATAGTACAATATAAGGTGAAACGTTAAAAGCGTGATCAAGACAAAAATTCAAAGGCATAAATAGTGAAACAGAAATAAATTATTACAGATACAAATTTAAAAAATTAAATTTAAATTGAAATATACATTTATATAAATTATTTCTTCCATTCTATATAGCAGTTTATGTGCGTGTATGTACATTCGTGGGTGTGTGAGTTGTTTGTTTACTTTGCATAAAAGCTCAGGCATTGAAAACTAAAATACTGCACAACACATTGAAACTTTGTATTTCAAAGCATTAGGCGCCGTTTCATTTATATTTTATGCAAACACAGATAAGAACGCACACATACAGACACAACTTGCAAGCGTTTAAGTGTCTGTGTGATTGTGTGTGCACTTCTGTTTAATATTTAAATAAACAGAAGTTTCCTTTTACCATCGCACAGTGGGTTATAAAGTTAATTTACATTTTTTTAACATTTATTCCTTCATTAAAAGAAAATGTATTTTTTAAAAGTTTCTTATACAAAAAGTAGCCATCTAAGGTTTTATAATAATTCGTTTCGATTTAAGCCCCAGCATAAAGTACAAATTCTTTGATTACAAACTTGTTAAAAAATTCTGGTTAATGTATTTACTTACTAAATAAAAACTGATATTCTTTCTTTTGGACTTAAAAAATTTCTTTTAACAACATTTTAGAAGATAATGTAACCCTTTACTTTTAGCTGCCTGATTTGTCTGTTCTTTTAACGAAATTTCCACTTTGAAATTGTGATATTAACTAATTTTCATAGGGAAATAGTTAAAAATACTGATGTCATTGTATTTTGGCCAAAATTGGGATTCGCTGGCCCAGTGTGCATCGGCAGGCTTACAAAACACATATACGTTTCTGAGGCCATTTCCACATCCCTTTTTCCCTTTTTTTCAAGGGTATGGCAAGCATTTTACAGTTATTTAGATTTTAATAGACCGGGCCCTCTTGATTTCCATTTACCCAATTATTACTAAAGATGCAGGGTTCTTATTCAAATTATAAATTGACAAATTGATCTTTTGTGGGTATAGCACTGAATATAATTTTTATTTAAACTCTTAATCTGGAACGATTGCAAACTACCTTTAATCCGTTTTTTTTAGATACACTTACATATTTGTCTAAAATGTATTTAGTTTTAGATTAAGCTATAATTTTTTGTATAGCTTTAATATCCCCATATAGAATCCAAGATAAACAGTTTCATTACTGTAACAATTAAAAAACAAGAAAGGAAAGCTAACTTCGGGCGGAGCCGAAGTTGAAATACCCTTGCAGAATATTCTGTAAATTATATTCTTCAAAATTATTAATATGATGCATTCTTAATACTCATAAAAAATCCCAACTTCCTAACGTTAAAAACACAAAGTAATGGCATTTCCAATCGTTCAGTTATATGGCAGCTATAGGATATAGTCGGCCGATCCTTATGAAACTTAAAAGGTCGGATTGATTGGCCAAAAATAAAACCCATAGAAATTTCCAACTTCCTAACTTTACAAACACCAAAGTTATGGCATTTCCGATCAATCAGTTACATGGCAGCTATAGGATATAGTCGACCGATCCTTATGAAATTTGGTACGTCGGATTGGTTGGCCAAATATAAAACCCATAAAAAATTCTAACTTCCTAACTTTAAAAATACCAAAGTTATGGCCTTTCCGATCGTTCAGTTATATGGCAGCTATAGGATATAGTCGGCCGATCCGGCTCGTTCCGACTTATATACTACCTGCAATAGAAAGACAACTTTTGGGAAAGTTTCAAACAGATATCTTTAAAACTGAGGGACTAGTTTGCGTAGAAACGGACGGACGGACGGACAGACGGACAGACGGACAGACGGACATGGCTATATCAACTCAGGAGGTGATCCTGATCAAGAATATATATACTTTATAGGGTCGGAAATGTCTCCTTCACTGCGTTGCAAACTTTTGACTGAAATTATAATACCCTCTGCAAGGGTATAATAACAAATTGAAAACCACTTATAATGTATTGTTTTTCATGTGTAATAATATTTGTAAGTACAGTGAGTAGTTAGCTCTACCTAATTAATTTATTCGCGAAAGTGAAATCGCATGCCTAAAAGTAGGCAGCACAAAAATGCAAACCCAGCCCGCCTTCCGCCGCTCGCCCACAGATGGCGTGTGTGTGTGGTGTAGTGTGCTGGAAACTTTGCGATTTAAATTTCAGGCAAATACAGGCTTCAGAAGGCAGGTGATAGTGGGCCGGAAACGAGGCGCCACCGCATCTCCATCTGCAACTGCATCTGCATCTGCATCCACAGTCAGCTCAGCTCAGCTGCTGCAATCAGCGACTAATGCAGCTCGTTAGGCAAACACACAGATGCAGGCACACATGATTTTATTCGCCATGTTAACATGCCGTCTGCATATGTTTACCCAAGGACATTTCTCGACAAGAAGCTGACAAAAAAAGAAAGGCAGCGGGGAAAGCAGGAGTTTCGAGGCTGCTGGGAAAAGTCTAAATTTTCCTAATGGCATTTCTTTCGGCAACAGACGGCGGGCCTCTCACAACTACAACGCATATTCCTGACAGATATTTTGGCATATTTTGTTAGTAATTTCCCCGTCTATGTGTGTGTTTTGTGTTTGCCCCCTACCTTCCTTCCCCCTTCCTACTTCCCCCATTCACAGCCAGTGAGTGTGGGCTTCCTTTAGTTGATTTTGTTTCCATCTCTCAAATTTTCGGCCGCTTCTTTGTTCTTTTGCCAAATGGATTCGTCAGTTAGTGGCAGCAATCGTTCGCCAACCACCGCGTTATTTGCCTTTAGCTGCACTTAGAAAAATGGGTCACAATCATAAAGATATGGCAAAATAAGAAATAAATATACAGAAGTGTATTCCTCCAAATAAATAAAATTAATTTTTCCTTCTTGTATTTAAAGTTAAAAATTATAAAAAAAAGACAGTGCTTTACAATTTGAAAAGCCAAGATTTATTGAACATTTTTTAACTCAATTATCTTTATAATAATTTATCGATTTTGGTTTGTTTTGTGTGATTTTCTTGGTTTAAAAATTTAAATAAAATTAATCATTTAATCTTTAAGCGAATGCTGATCGTTTGGTTACCTTTTCTCTCAGTGCAGAGAGAGGTAAAAACTCTCTTCGACAACTCTTTAGGCTGGTTGCCACTCAAAGCCCGTCCATCCGTCCATTCATTTGTCCACCTGTCGGCCTGCCAGCTGATTTTTGGTCTGTGCCTTTGTTCTTCTTGCCAATTTGCAGTGCGAAGGGCCAACATCCGACCTTCGGCCAGACTTTCGAGGGGGATAACAAAGGCATCTTCATAAAGTTGCAGTCGCGTGGCAGTTGGCATTACGGTTGAATGCGTTTCGCCCGAAGTTCCTTTTCAAAGTTGCGGCCTAATCCCGTATAATCGCACCGAATTCATGGTGCGATACTTACCGCAGTCTTTTGGCCAGCTATTAAATTGCGAGGAAACCCTGTGCCTCAGTGAAAAGACCCGGTTTTTGCATTTTCGCATTTGTTTTTCTTCAGAACTTTGGTTGTTGGTTGAATTTCAATTGACAAAAACATGTTGGTTGCCTGATTCGTTTCGTTTCGTTTGAGTTAATGGATCGAAACACATTTTCTATAACTATATACATGCATTACACTATATTTTAGGCTTTAGTTTTAATTTGTGTTTACAATGGTTAGCATAACTATTTGACTTACATGCTAGGGATATATACTCAGTGTTCAGTGGATGCTTTTAAAAATGCTTCGATTTGAATGGCTTTTGCACTATATACACAGAGACAGCTACAACAAATGCTTCAGGTTTACACATATATATTAGGTAATAATAGTGGTAATAGTGCAGTCGAACTTTCATAACTCTAGACTCCGAGTTATATAATTGATTTTACCTTATACTGTCAACAAACATATAAAGGCTTTGAGTTAAGGAAGCTCGACTGCAGCAAAAAAAAAAAGATAAATCAATAGATTCAGGGTATACAAATACATTTACCTAAGTCTAACAATCAATTCATAAGCCTAAGTAATCACAATTAAATATTGCTAAGGTTCGCAACAACGACAGCAGCACGCACATATAAAACTATTGTAATATAAAAAAAAGGTCTCCCTAAAATTAAATCAACAACTTAAAAAAAGAAAGCAGTTTAAATAATACAAAAAAAGGTACAATATAATGCCAAGGCAAAAAAAAAAAAATAAAGGGCAATGGGCAAAAGTTGCTGCTAAGTAGTATGTTCTTTTACGGATATGCTATGTACAATTTGGCATTCGATTAAAACATTAAAAGGTAATAAATATTTACTGTGACAAGGGCTGAGTGTAAAGGTGAGACAACTGTGAACAAACTTCAACACGCAATTGAAACGCTGTTGCTGACACGACACTAGGTTACACTAGACTACACGACATCCAACGACATCCTGCGGCTCTCTAATTGCTAGCAAGAGCCAGGAGTTGCTGCTGCTTATGATTATGCTCATTCTGATTCTGATTCTGATTTACTGCTGCTGTTGCTGTTAGCGAGTGGCTGTTGCCGTGTCGCTGCCGCGAAATGTGCTGAAGAACCGCAGCAACAGCGACTGATCCTCGCCATTGCGATCCACCTGGCGGTCCACTCGCCACCCAATACTCGGAAGCCACCAAAAGGGCTTATAGCCGTCTGGGTTGCTGCTGCTGTTGGGAGGTGTTGCTGCTGCTGTTGCTGCTGCTTCTGGTATCGCTGCTGCTGCTGCTATTGCTGCTGCTTCTGATACTGCTGCTGCTTCTGCTGTTGCTGCTGGCTCTTCAGCCAACTGTTCTACTCTAATTATTTTACTATTTCTATTGCTACGATTAGTAATACTTAAATGTTTTTCTGATGTTGCTGCTGCTGCATTGGCCGTCGAGCGGCTCTCATTAACCTGACTCGATGTTGCTGCTGTCTCTGTGGTTGATTCCGCTTCACTTGTACTCCGGCCTAATTGCGGCATCACCTTTGACCAATTTGAGTATGTTGCATCCTCAGTTGGTGTTGCTTCTGTGCTGGTTGGCTTAAGTTGCTGTTGCTGTTGCTGTAGTTGCTGTTGCTGTTGCTGTTGCTGCTGATGCTGCTTTCGCTGCTTGCCCTTTACCAGCTCGTTGATGAGCCGCAATTCCTGTTGGGCATTCATTTCACTGGAGCTGGTGGCTTTATGGCCGCCAGCATCATCCTCCTCGCCCTGGCCGCCAATTGTATTTGTCATTAAATTGTCATTGTCACTCGGCAGCATATTGTTCTGCTCGATCGGTTCGCTGGTAGTACTGCTGCTGCTGCTGAGCTCTGGTGTTGCTGTTGCTGCTGTTGCTGTGGTGCTGCTAGCAGCAACATCTTCGACAAAATGCTGATAATGAAACCGGTCAGTGGAGCTGGAGCTTGAATCAGCTGCAGTTGTTGCTGTTGGTGTTACTGTTGCTGTTGCCGATGTTGTTGTCGTCAGCTGAACCGGTTGCACTTTCGATTTTATCAAGACCAGGCGATTTTCACGTTCATCTATCTCGGGTTCTTCGGGCGGATGTGGTGATGTTTGGCTGGAGGTGGATGTGGATGTGGAGGTGGAGGTGGAGCTGGCAGGAGGAGACGTATCCATTGACGCCTCCGCAACCGTTGTGTCGTCTGCAGTTGTTGTTGTCGTCTCTGTGGTGTACTCCTCCTCCTCCTCCTCTTCAGTTGGCACTATGTCGGTGGTGGTCTCCTCCTCCTCCTCCTCCTCCTCATTGTCCAGCTCCCCTGCAGCTTCATCCGCCTGCTTGGGCTTCACATCCTGGTCTGCGCTCAGAGGCGGCGCCACCTTACGATGACTGAAGAGCGGCGGCAACAGCTCAATGCTGCCGTCGTAGGCCGGCAGAAAGGCGTCGACCTTGAGCAGCTGGGCCAGATCCGCCTCCGCCTCCGCATTGATGAACCCATTCGCTGCGGTAGAGGTAGAGGAGTCATCGGAGTCATCGACGAGGGAGCTGGTCACCAGCTGCACAGAGCCATCCTGCGCCTGACCCGCCGGCAGCACAATGGCCTCCACCTGGCCAAAGTCGCTGTTGCTGCTGTTGCTGCTGCTAGTGGAGGTGTTGCTGCCGCGGGTCAGTGTTGCTGTCGTGGACAGGGCATTGCTGGGAGCCGCCTGCAGATCCCCGCCAGCTATGCGATTGCCAGTTTCCCCCGGAGGCGAAGCTGTCGTCGTGGTTGTCGTCGCTGTGCTGCCAGATGTTGCTGCTGTGGTGGTGCTGCTGCTGCTGCTGATGCTGCTGGCATGTGTTGCTGCCACCATATCCGGCGGCAGGGGCAGCTCCTCGGGCGGCTCGCCCGTGCCGGTGGGGAATTTCTTCTCGAATATATTGAACTTCAGTGGTGCATCCTCGCTGGGCAGCGCTTGGTCCTGTGCCCCTCCATCCTGCATGGCGGTGGGTATGACGGATAGGTCGTACACGATCTCCTCGCTCTCCGTGTCATCGCCATAGTCGTAGTCGGCGATGGGTGGTGGCGGGGGACTGCCGTTCGAGGAGCCGGCCAGGATCAGTTCCTGCTTGACGAGGTCCGTGGGATCGATGTTGGACTGGGGGATGCAGAGCTGGTTGTACAGCGTGTGACCCTGCGGACAGTGGCGAAAGGGGAGCGTGAATATCGACTTGGCCGTCACCTTCTTCTCCTTGGTGAGGTTCCGCTGCTCGGGGTCCAGGTTCACCCAATCCTCCCACACCATCCGCTGCACATTCCCCTCGATGGGTCGCGATGTGATCGGCAGGCCGTTGTTGGCCCCCAGGAAGACCGTTAGCGCCAGGACCGCCAGCAGGCAGTTGGGCGGTGCCATCGCTCCGGGATCGATTGCTGGTTTACTCCTGGCTAGCGCTGGAAAAAGAAGAAAAGACAGAAGAGTAAGTAAAATATCAGTGACGGGGCAGAAAATAAAAGCGAATGGGGGGGGGGGATCGCCACCCAGTGCGACGAGTGCCCACAATGCGCTTTGTGCCCCAGCAGCTGTTCCTCTGTCCGGATCACCCGTTACCCCAACCACCCACTCCGTTCTTTGTGGTCGGGGGATCAGATCGACAACAAATACCGGTTCTGTGGCCGCACACAAAGCGGTACGTTACAGTGGGACAAATGCAATATCTCAGCCATAGACCAATTCCTTATATACATGTTCCCAAATAGATAATATGTATTTTTTTAAAACCCGCAGAGAAAAGATTACAATACCCCTAACTACCTTTTTCTGCAACCGCCACTGTTTTAAGCCATTCGAAAAACTCCTGAAATTCTTTAACACAGAACGACCGAAACCCCTAAGGATTTCTATTATTTGCCAAGCAAAAGGGATTAATGACAAAATATACACAGATGTTCGTAAAATATCTTTAGGTATTTCAAACAGCAGGTGTTTTTTGTATGTACATTACATGTAAATCTTGTGTGGAGTTATTTGTTTTTGATAGATCTGTTAGAAGACTCAGTTTCTTACCACATTGTGTTACTAGTTAATCGAAACTTTTGGAAATGGTGTAGTCTGGCAATGACTTGCTGTTTCTGATCATCAACAAAACTTCTAAACCGTTATAGTGTAACTTTATTCAGCTTGTATGTAAATCCGTATGAGGTAATACAACCACTGTGTTTTGAGGAGCATTTGGATTCAAAGATGAAGGCGGAGTTGCAGGCGGCGTCGCACAAAGATTGTAAGCTTGGCCATCGCTTTAATGGTTATATCAACGGTTCCACTCGCTCGCACAAAGACAGGCCCTCGCCATATCGCACATCACTCATCGCCGTTGTCATAATCCACCGCAATAGCGACTATAAAAATAATAACAGCGGCAGAAGCACAACGGCAACACAGCAGCAACTGCAACAACTTGTTGCTGCTGTCGTCGCTGATGTTGCTGCTGTTGCTGATGTTGCTGCTGTTGTAGGTGCCGTTGCTGTGGATACTGTTGTCGCTTCGGCTGTTGGGCATATTGCTGCTGACATTGCTGGTGTTTTTTATTTTATTATTTTGGTTTTGTCGCTGTTATTGCTGTTTCTGTGGTAACTGCAATTTTTAAAGATGCGCAGGGCACAGAGTCTGCTGAAAATGTTGCTGCATTTATGGCTTTTTCTTCTTATATTGTTGCTGTTGTTGCTGAAATATTTACTCATATTGATGCTGTTGCTGCTAATATTTTCTATTTGTTGCTATTTTAAGCAAATTGTTGATGTTTTTCTGTGTTTTACTGAAATTGTTCGAGTATTTCTTGGTGTTGCTGCAGTTATTGTTGCTGTTGCTGCTAATATTGTTGCTGTTGCTGCCAATACTGTTGCTATTACTGCAAATATTTTAAATATTTCGGTTGCTAACATATTGTTGTTGCAGTTGTAACTGCAATTTTGGAGATGATTCTGCTGCCAGATAATACTATTGATGATTTTCTTGATAATGCTGCTAATATACTGTTGCTGCTGCGTTTGACATAAACGCACACGTCGAAATCAAGAGTGGCACGCACAAATGAATAAATGTCTAAATGCTTATTTATACAATACGGTGAGAGGAAGCGAGACGGAACCAGTTAAAGCGGGACAGCGACAGGGGGACACACGCATGTGTAGTGTAAAGTACATATAAATATGTAGGTTATCGGGGGGTTCTCAGAATTTATGAGTTCAAGTGTGTGGCACTGCGACCGCGACTTTTCTAACTGTTGCACTCAAGTTTATGGCTGTTGCTGCCGCTTCTGTTGGTGTTGCCGGTGTTGCTGTTGTTGCTGCTGTTGCTGTTGTTGCTGCTGTTGTTGTCATTATTACTTGTTAATAGCCCTCTTGAATCGGAAAGTGCGTGGCGTGTGTATTGCTGTCTCTGGGTCGCGTATCGGTCGTAAAAACCGACCGCAGCGGAACTCTCATCTCTTCTTTTTCGGGGCCCGCGTCTGAATGTCAAGTACCTAGTAGTAGATAGTGTGCCTCAGTGTTGTGTGTTGTTGGACCTGCCCGATAAGGTTAATGTCACAACGGTAACGGTATTATATAAAACAATGACTTTGACACCCGCAGCAAATGAGGAAGGCGGTTGGAAGGGGATTGCACCTGCCACATGAGCATTAATCACGACTAGAGGGGCCGAAACTATTTCGGAATAAAGCCACACATCTCTCGAAATAGCGACCCAATTTTAAAAAACTAATTTGGGTGTACAAGATTGGGTAAAGAAATATATAAAAAAGATTCCGAACAAATTATTGTTGAATACTTATTGTTTTTGTTATATACAATTTTCAAATCATTTGATTGATCTACGTTATTGTTCTGATTTTATTTGTAAATTAATCTTTTTAAATTGTCTGTTAATTTGAATTAAGTTCGTGATTAATAGCAGAGCATAGACATAAATAATATAAATAGACTCCATAAATAATATAAACTCATCAAGAAGGCCTCGCTTTTACTTTTAATTACCAAAAGAAAAATGTTCACATCTCGTTTTGCAATTTCTGCAATCATTAATCCCGTTCGATCCCCTTGAAAATGCATATTTGCCTGGCTTATCCCATCACTCGCCAGCCGACCAATAATGTGACGCTCTATTTCCTGTTTCGATTTGCTAATCTATATTTATGAAGCCCCCGGGAAACCGAGCAAGGCAACCCGGTGGAGCCCCTGGAATCCACCATTCATGTCCTGGCATTCGGCGGACATGTGATGACTGCTGTTCCGGGCTGTCACCAGCCATCAACTGTTATTTCAGCCACGAGAGTCCCGTGAAAGCCTTTCTAAAAACTCCCTCTCCGCGGAGAGCCCCCACTGCAATCCCCAAAAAAGCCCCCTTGTAACCCCTAAACTCGCAACCTCCATCGTCCATCGGAAAACCCCCCTGAACCCCATCCTCTGTGGTCAACAAACGGACGTGAAGGGTCGGACATCATTCCATCTTCCGTGTCCGTCCCAAAACATCGGAATCGGAATAGGAATCGGAGCATCCAGGGGGCTTCGCATCAGCGCCCAGTTGAGCTTCCTATATCAGTTCATCTGTCAGTTTGGCGGGGTCCAAATTGAAATCAACTTCACACGTCGCAAATTTTTAATTAAAAATCAGCAACTGATGTCAATTTTGAGGGAGCTCTGCTCCTGTTTCCTTGCTCTTTTTTCGTTGTTTGTTGATTTGGACAACATTTGATGCCTTTAACGCGAACATGGAGATGGGATAGAGATAGAGATAGAAAAAAAAAATATAAAAACAGGACATTTGGGCATGTGGATATGGATGTGTCTGCTGTTTGTACATAATTCCGCAAACACACATTGACATCTTGCTAATACAAAACAGCAACACGTAGAATTCGGTGTTGGGTGCTTCGTGCCGTCACGTATTCAATTCGATTCAATGATTCAATCCCGCATTCCGTATTCCGTATTCTGTACTCTGTACTCTGCACTCTGTAGTTTGTATCCTGCGTTCCCGTATCCTGGCAAACACGCACAGTCAGCCTGGATTTCCCGCAGCTTCGTAACTGAACGAGTGCGTGCACGGGGTCCTCAGATTTTGGTTTTTTCGGGGAACGGGTCCTGGTCCCCCAAACTCATTTGCCCGCCGATGGACACGATTTTCCTGCCACTGCCTTTTATTTCTATACATTTCCCATCTAGTCGTGCTCTGGCTTAACAAGACTCGGCTTACAGCTTATATCATGGCCAAAAAAGTGCATTAAAATGGTCATTTAGACCATTTAAATTATTAAAAACATGTTTGTCAAAACTCGAACTTTTTGTATAAGGGTTAAAAGCAGTTGTGTCAAATTGGAAAGACAAATTCATTACATTTTAATTTCATAATTAAAATCACAAACAGAAATTATAAATATATTGAAGCAAAAGCATATATTTTTAAGATACCCCAATTTCCTTCACTTTAAATAATTCAAATTGTTTTATAATTACAGGTTTTGATGCCTTTCCTAATCTAAAAGTGAGTAGAACTTATATAATAATGTTTCAAATAAATACTTAGTATGTCACAAAATGTATATTTTTATAAGTAGCATTATTATCATATAATCAATGAATGCTCAGTCAATTTTTTAAGTTAATAATTTGTTTCTATTAAAAGGTTTCTGCACGAAAGATATTTCGATGAACTAACAAAGCTCTCATTGAAAAGATATAGCCTGATACCTTAAAGCTTTATTTATTTATTGCGCCACTTGTTGAAATCTCTTCAAATAGTCATAGACTAAAAATATGTTCATCGCTGAATATTTTGCTCCACAACTTGATGAATAATTTATAAAGTACCGGGCATAAAACCCCGTTAACTGACAGGTCAATTGCATCATTTGTGATCTCATCGATATCTCGCACTCAAACACTACACCCGTACAATATCATAGCTAATGGCCAAAGGGGGCTGGGAAAACATCTGGACATTCAATTGGCCATTGCTGAAAGTAGTTCAATTAGCCGCAAGTGCCGCGTATCCACCAGATACTTGGCAGAACTCAGATAGATAGATACAAAAATGTGTGCAAATGTGACCATTAGAAGGCCTTATTATGCAGGCGACTATGTCAATGTCTGCTGGCCAAGAATTATACAATTCCGAATGTGGATGGCCATCCGACTATCTGTATCTGTATCTGTATCTGTATCTTTCAATGTGCCATTGCCCACGCATGTGGCCACTTTTTACATTTTCACAGTGGCAACCAGTTTTCGTGCTCGGTTTTCTTCGCCGCATTTTCGGCGGCTGGTTAAAAATTGAAAATGCAAAACTGAAACGTAACGAATTGAGTTGAACTGAAGCAGAAGTGGCTGCTTTTGCTGAGTTGCCACTGATTTTGCTGCCTCCGATGTTGCCGATGCGTAACAAGTGGTCACAGCAGCAACATGCAAAGCAGCAGAAGCAGCAACAGCAACACAAAGTGGTTCGCAGTGGTGTCATTTAGTTTTTATTGCCGCTTAACTGCCGCCTCAAAAGCTCCAAGTGCACTCAGAAAAAAGTGGGTAAGCAAACTCTATAGAGATATTTAGGATCATTGCCCTATAAAAACAACAGAACAAAATGTAACGCTCTTGCTTCATAAATCAATGGCAATTCAAAATCCATTTCTCATCGATTTCTTAAGATATGTTTATGTTGTAACATGTAGTCTCTCTTACACTTGGAATTTTTTTTTTATAAGACTTGTTATAATTTCAGAAGTGGTAACTTATGTCTATTGTCTCTTAAATACTTTTTAAAAATCATTAAGAAAGGGTAACAAAACCAGTTTAATTAATCTATAAATATATTCATTTTGGCCAACATAAAACATTATCTTTAAATAAGTTTAGTAAAACTCATTTAAATCTGGTAAAATGGTTACAATTAATACATAGTAATAGATTAATAATTTGTATTATAAACTTTTAGAGCAAATTGATTTTTTAATATAAAAAATGTATATCTTTTTTAATTTAGCTCCTTTTGAAACTATAAATGGTTTAAGAAACTTAGAAAATGTCTAGTACCAGAAGGTTCTTGCATACAAGTCATGCTTTGTGGAAGCATGCCCCGTTTTTCTCAGTGCATGAACAATCACTCAGCCGCCTGATGACTTGGCTGGGCTGCCAAAAGGTGGCCCAAAGAAACGGACAGGTTTTCTCGTTACTGCGGCTATTGTTTTTTCTGTTTTTTTTGTTTTTATTTCTTCTTTGTCGTTTGACAAGGCACTTGAAAACCGTTACACTTAACTCGAATTTGAATCTGAGCTGAAAACTGTAAAGAAGTTGGCTCAAAAGCACTGAATGCATTCGCATGAGATCACTGGGCCCTATCGGTGGAATAAGATCTGCATTCCGACATCATATTCTTGGGGTTAATGCTGCGATTTCCATATTTCCAGAATCCTCAGACAAACGATGGCATTTGTTCAATTGCAAATCTCATTTTGCATCTGCCCCTCATCGTTTGAAAATGAAAAGCCCATTGAAAATGCTTACACAAATCACACGCCAATTTCCACAACATGCTTATGGCCTTTTCTTCCCCATCATAAACTATTTAAATCGTAAATTGATTTCCAAACAAACCGAAATGCGTGTGAAAATCAGGCGTGAGAAACGCAATTAGTTTTCAATTACCACACGGCGAGTGGAAAATCGAATCGAATGGAATGGAATCGAATCGCGATTGAATCAAGCACAGCAGGTGGCCGCAAAAGGGGCAGGATCAGATCAGTTCGCAGTTTCCAAACCAATTTGTATCAGTTACATATTGTAAATGGAGTTCTATGACCGAAAGCGAAAGAAATAATCCAATTTGGGGCACACGCGCTCAGATCGACAATTAATGATCGACGATCGACGATCAACGATCAACGATCAACGATGAACGATCGCAATCGTCCAGCTGAAAATTGTTTACGACACCGTCGTGTGGCCTGTGTTTTCCTTCGTCTCTCTTTTGGGTTTATTTTGTAGTTTTTTGGCCTGTGGTGTGGGTGCGGCCATAGTCTTGGAGATATAGTAGAGTCGGTGGTGCCGAATGGGTTCTACGCCTTGGCACAGGCCACAAAACACGCAGCTGACTGAAATGCGCACGCAGACGCGTGCCGAATTCATAAAAACGCATTCGCACTCAAATCGATTTACATTTCGGTGGCACTTAGGCTAGAGCACGGCAGAAAGCCCCCAGAACGACAAGCCAGGCACGAAACTTGAGCCCAATAAAATGAAAAGCCCCAACAACAAGTAAATAACACACAAAAATAAAAGTAAACAAACGAGCAGCAAAATTGGAAATTGGCCGGACAAAGCCATGAATAAAGAAATATAACTTGGCCACAAATTGCCAGGCTAATCTAGTTTAGAGAATTAATAAACTAATAAACGGCAGTGGTCAGTATTTATTTGCACACAAATTCTAAGCAAATTATGAAAATAATCAGAAGATGAGTCAGCTTTTATCTAATTTAAATTTCAATTATTTATTAATTATATAGTTAAGATACAAAATGGATTCCATGTTTGCATAAGCCAACAAATAAATGTTGAATAAATAAACTAATGAATAAAGTGCGCTTTTCTTGGTTTTTTCATTTAGCTATTTCACGTTACTTAAGCAGACATTTTATTATTTACTACTATTATTTTGAATATAGCTGTTAATAAATTTCGTTCTTAAGATGCAATTTATCAACTTCCAAAAGTTTAAGCTTTACTTTAAATGCACATTCTTTCAAATCAAAAAGGCAGTTTATCTGTTTTTCATATGTGCTTTACTAAGCTTAGTTATCTGCCTTAAAATGTATTTCATATTTGTACAGGCTTTACACATTCCCCTGGGAAATACTAATCTCTTAAAGCTCTTAAGAATCATTTACGGATGCTGAAGTCCTAAGAATCCCCAAAAATATGTCAAAATTATGGATTTTTCCCGCAGTGTTTTAACATTTCCCAACGACATAATCTGCCGCCCCCTCGCAGACGTAACCCCCTCCGAAAAGTCGGACGGGGCATTAGCATAAGTAGCGATTAGAGGCTACCAAATATCGTGAGTGAGTCTAATTTGTTGCCCTCGCCTAAGTCTGATATATGAATCGTTTTACTGTCGATTTTTCGGGAGGCGGGGCTATAATTTAGGTCCCCTCTTCGAATGACGCAAAGAGTTTTTGTGGAAGATTTCCATATAATAAATTCTCGCCGTTATTGTAATGTCTGTGTACTTACAAGCATTTGCAAACAAGTAAATAAAAACTAAGTGAACTAAAGATGATGTATGATTTTCCGCACTTTTCCCATTTTTTTTACTCACGTTTTATTAGTGATATTTGCACAGCACTCAAAGGAAAACGTTTGTTGGGTTTTGGATAAAAAAAATATATCGTTTTTTATTAAATATTAATCTAATAAGTCTTATTTGATTTTATGGTCCTTTCATTCACAATGTTTCACTTTGAAAAAAAGGCACAGAAACCAGAATTTAAAACAAGAGATTTTCTAGTTTTTTTTGTTTTGTTTTTGGAGCGACTTGTATAGCTGAAGATCTGAATACAGACTGAGTGGAAAATACAGGAAAAATCACAGAGAAACCAAAACCAAAACAAAATCTTAGCCGAGAGCAGCGAGCACACACAACAGATGCAAAGATACAAAGATACAGAGATACGGAGATACAACGATATTTATGTGTGAGCGATACGAAGAGCATGCTGTAGATAAACTTACGCAATATAAAGAACCGAAGAGCTAGAACCCGCTATGGCAAAGTATCTGTATCTGTAGCTGTAGCTGTATCTGTATCTGAATGTGTGTCCAAACGAGTATCTGTATCTTCATGCTCTTACGATTTGGCGGTAAATCTCTTGCCACACTTGTTTGTTTTGATCCTGAGGACAGGTAGAACGCCGCACCTCGTATCTCCCCTCCACATCTACCTGCCGATCAGCCTTGAGATACTATCTTTTGAGGTAGAGCGAGATGGATCGATCGGAACGTCCTTGCGAGGCGAGCGCCAAAGTATCTGCAGCCGCAATGTATCTTCTGCTGATAGCAGCGCGCAAGCAGAAGATACACAAACTTGGCCCTGAAACTGCATCCTCTCCTCCCCGACTCCCCGCTGCCTTCCCACTTCTCTGCTCAAGGCGGATTCCTGATAACGGACCGGGTGATATGACGCAACCAAGGTGAGAGTCGGCACCATAATGCATCCATTATCGCTTAAGTCGGCTGGCAAATATGCACACATGTGCAAATCAATAAGGTTGGCGGATCTTCAATATAGGCATTTTTGTAACATATGAGACATTTCTCTTGGGCAGGCTTTTTACAAAAACCACTCAACTACACATTTCTAGGCCACCATTTATTGACATCGCAATAAAAATGACAATTGAAATTTTAAATTTCATGTGATGTAAAATGAATTTCAGCATAAATCGTATCACAAGCTTTTGTACTAAAATACAAAGTAACCGACCAAAAAGGAAA